TATCTATGTAGCTTTCTATTCTTGTATCAACATACATTGGAGAACGTTCAGATTGTACGACAATTTGGAAACTTAGTACTCCTTGACTTTCGATCACTGAACTGGAAACTATATATCCCAGTTGTTCCTAAAATACAAATTAAAACATTCAAGGTTGAATAAAATGAATTATTTTTCCAATATATATATATATATATACCTTTGTACGCAATGTATAAAAACAAGATTCTTTAACGATTTGATTAAATAAATTAACTATCATATTATTAAGTGTTGACTGGACACCACATTGAAGATTAAAGGTAACACAAGAACTGCTGTGATAATTATTAGTTGTTTCAAATAATGTGCTCTCACCTGAAAAAAATACTTAAATTAATTCATAATTTTGTATTAAATACAAAATTTGATCACCAAGGCTGAGCATTAACGATTTCAAAAGTTAGCAGTTATATTTTACTATTTTTTTACTACTTTTTTTTCATTTTTTGGAAAAAAACGCCACCAAAAAACGGCACAAAAATGTCGGTCGATGTACTTACACAAGCACACTAATATATGATTTCCAATATACGAATTAGACCGACGAAAAGTGTAGACAGCACTTGGAGTTAAATCGAATATGAATTTCTCAAACCCTACCATTATTACTTCGGATCAACGAATACAGTCAAGTTCCACTCCCTTAGATGGAACTTACAGAAAAAAAAACTTAGGAACAGCCAGACGGCCAAAGGTGACAATTCATAATTAAGGTTTTCCGTTTAGATATGATCCAACAATCAATTATGCTGTAGATATATTCTTCAAATTCAGAAGAATAAGTACTATTTGTTAACACTACAATGCGTGTGGGTTTTGACATGAAGCTCTTGGATTATGTTGAATGAGTAGAAAGGTAAACCTATAACAATTAACAACGCTACCAGAGCCACTGGCATCATTGCTTTCTAGCCAAGAACCTAGACCGAATCATTTCTTGAAGATTATATAAAAGGACAACAGTTTCTTCCAGATTACATTATTTAAGGCGAAAATATTTGAAAGATAAGGTATGAACGTAACTTTTAAAGATTCATCTACATCACATACAAAAAATAAAACCAACATCTACGCGATTCACAACGTTTTACCGAGGCCCATAAATGAGGAATTTATCTTAAATTTCACAGATTCAAGGACAAATTCACCATCAAGTTTTTATCATAAATTTGTTTGGCACACACAACATAAGATGTAAAAACTAATAGAATATAATTTTCATATACGAATGAATAACAATTTTAGACAAAAACACAAGGACAATTAAAAT